GGGGCTCCTCTGCTTGGGGGTTGGGAAGCAGTGAGCTGCCCACAGGGGCCCCCAGGACCCCAATCCTCTCCTGTACCACGTTGAGCCCAGCCAGGGTCTCCGGCTGGCGCCTGCACCCCAGCCTCACTCCAGGTCTTGGGGTCTTTCCCGTCCCTCACCCTGGCTGGAACTGAGGCTCCAACGCCCCAACCCGAAGCTCACGGGGCTTGGAAGCCTTTGTTGTCTTTGGGAACCCTGGTGAGACAGACCTTGTGAGGGTTTCAGTGACAAATCCCCATCCGAGAGGGCCAGGACCCAGGCTGGGCACATAGAGTGGGGCGGCAGAGTCGAGCCCACACACGCAGGATGAGGGATCTGCAGCCCTCCGCGTGGTGACCATGCCATCCCGGAAACCCGTGCCCACAGGTGGAGGCCAGTGCCAGGCAGAGGCAGCAGGGGTTCCGCATGAGGGCCATAAACAGTTTCATTCTGGTGTCACAGGCCGAAGGGTGGGGCCGCAGGAGCAGCCCTGGAGGCTCCGGGGTGTGGGGTGTGGCTGGCCTAGGATCTGTGACTTGGTGAGGGTCAGTTTCCCTTGTCAGGACCCCAGATTGCTCCACTGTAAACCGAGGAGGAAAATGTTCCCTCCTGAGGCAGGTGCAGCGGTGCACACCTGTGATCCCAGCCGCTCGGGAGCCTGGGGCAGGAGGATCCCAAATTCATAGTGAGAGCTTGTCTCAAAAAATAAAAAGGGCTCAGTAGTGAGCACTTGCCCAGCATGCACAAAGTCGTAGGTTCCATCACCAGCACTGAAAAAAATAAACAGTGGGCTCCAGCAAGGCAGGAAGAAGAAGGCAGTGTGACTGGTTACTGTGTGGGGGTTGATGAGAGACGGCAGCTGTGATCCTCCCCTGGAGGCCTTAAAGGCCCCTTTTCCTCTCTGAGGCTTCTTTGCACCGGACATCACACTCAGGCTCCCAGGCCCCTGAGCATTGTCTCCCAAACCTTCACAAGAGAGGCACCTGCCAGGCCACCCGAGATCAGCTGAGGATCCTGAGTGTGAGTATAAGGTCTTCAGGCCCCACGCAAGCTCCCGTTGAGCTACTTCTGTTTACCAGGTACAGGGTGAATCCGCCCAGGTCCCAGATGAGTGGATCTCAGCCTCCTTGAACCCAAGACTTGGGATCACATTCCCATGGCCTCAGTGAATCCCCACAGAGGAATGGGCAGGGAGGAAGATGTACCCCACCCAAGGGGCGCCCCAGCCCCGCACCTGAAGTGCTGGGCAGGAGTGACTGTCCCCAGGTATAAATCCCATGCAGTAAACGTCAGTTCACTTAGTAGGCAGATACGCATGCTGGTGACCGCTGCACCTGCCCTAGGGTGTGGGGACAGTGAGACCTGCCCTTCGGCCAGCACTGGCCAGAGGGGATCAGGGCTGGAGGGACAGTGCAGCTGCGGCAGAAGGTCTGAGCACCAGGATATATGGAGGGGCTGACTGTCCATCTGGTCTCTGTCTGAGGATGGAACCCAGGGCCTCTGCACTGAGCTATACCCCCAGCCCTTCCCATTTTTAAAATTTTGAGGCATGGTCTCACTAAGTCACTAATTTGCTCAGGTTGGGCTCCAGCCTGCGATCCTCCTGCCTCAGCCTCTCCGTGTCCTGGGATGACAGGTGTGCGCCACCACATCCAGGTCTGCCAGTCGTTACGAAGTGCCTGCCTGACACCAAGCTCTGGCCTGCAGGAGGGCATGGGTGGAGTGGGTGCTGGGCAATGATCTGCAGTGGGTTAAGACCTTAGATTGTAACATTACCCAAATGCCTGTCATTCCACTGCTTGAGAGGCTGAGGCAGGAGGATCACAGGTTCAGCCCAGCCTCAACTTTAGTGAGGACCTTTCAAAAACATATATCTAAAATGTACCGATAAATGTTTTTTTTGAAAAAAAAATTTTTTTTTTTTTTTTTTTTTTTTTTTTTTTTTTTTTTTTTTTTTTTCTGAGACAGGGTCTCACTATGTGGTTGAGACTGACCTGGAACTCACTATGTAGCCCAGGCTGATTTTGACCTCACAGCGATCCTCCTGCCTCAGCCTCCCGAGTAGTGGGATTACAGGTGTGCGCCACCATGCCCGGCTTTATTTTTGTTTTTATGCTTTGTTTTGTTTTTGGTATTCAGTTTTGAATCCAGGGCCTTCACACTGAGCTCCATTTCCAACCCTTTTTTATATTGAGACTGGGCCTGGTTAAATCGCTAAATCGCCCAGGCTGGGCTGAACTTGCAATCCTCCTGCCTCAGCCTCCCAGAGTGCTGGGATCACAGGCATGTGCTACCACACCCAGCTTCCGGCAGGGGCCCTGCTCTGCTTCTGAGAACTGAATGGCGCATCAGCCTCGAGCTGGTGCAGAGATCTTCGATGTGAGCAGCGGATCTGATGGGCCCCAGTACACCAGGGATGACTCAGCTTGGCAATCTGAGCCCCCTGAGCCCCCTCCCTGCCTGTCAGTGCCCAACCCTTGGCACTGCATGCAGGCCCAGCATGGGAGAGGCTCAGGCAGAGGCTCAGAGCCTGGGGGCTCCCCAGGCTTGGTGCAAGTGCACTGTTCCCTGGGAAAGCCAGGGTATGAGCTTGAGGACACTGGGTCAGGCCGTCACTTGGAGGCTCTGTAGTCCTGCCTGGGCCCAGGGACGAAGTTCAAGGTGTTGTTCCTAGCCCATCCTGGTTTTCCAGCACCAAGGTGGGGGTGCTGTCTGAGTGTTGGGCTGTATAGGATCAGGAGAAAACTAGGATGTGGGGACCGGGAACCTGGAGTCACTGCCTAGCTCCAGGGCTTGGCTTCCCACCTGATATCCCTCAGAAAGAAGAACGCAGGCCCACTGGGGCCATCGGTGAACTTCAAGTGAGCAGATCTAAGACACCTCCTAATGAGTCAGGGAACAGAGGCTAGGCACAAGAAGGTGGATGCAGTCAGGTAAGAATGTCCCTAATGGATACACAGGGCTTCAGGTATGGTTAGATCCAGGAGCTTAAATGTTTTGGGCCTCCCATGCCAGGCTTGGAGTTATTCTCAAGTAAGCTGTGCCTATTAGGTGGCACAAACAGCCCCCAGTAATTTTGCATTTTGTTCCACCAGCCTAAAAGCATTCATTGCATTACTTTGTTTTGTTTTGCTTTGTTTAGAGACCAGGTCTTGTTCTGTAATTCAGACTGGCCTTGAGCTCTGATATGTAGCCCAGGCAGGCCTCTTGTCCCAGACTCTGGATGCTGGGATTACAGGCATGTGCCACCATGCCTGGACTTGCATTAATGAATTAATTGATTACATTAATTTCAAAGTTCCCAGATTTCATGTCATTGGCCAGGTTGAGTCACTTACCCATCTCAGAGCCAATCACAGAGGCCAGAGGGTGAAAGAGTATGATTGACTAGGCTAGGTCAGATAATGCTGTGATTGGTTGAGCAGCATTACCCATTCTTCAACCAGTCACAGAGGTCAGATAGTGGACTATTGGGAATGCCTGGGTCAGAGAGTGGAACACTGTGATTAGCTGGGCTGGTTCATTTACCTATCCCTCAACCAATCACAGAGGCCATATCGGGGAATGTTGTAATTAGCTGGGTTGAGTCAGAGAGCGGAATGCTGTTAGAGGCTGGGCTGGACCAGCAAGTGGAATGCTGTGATTGGCTCAGCAGGATCATTTGCCCATCCCTCAACCAATCACAGAGGTCACATGGCTGGGACTTTGCCTTTTGAGGGACTGGGAGTTGTCCCTGTCCCCACTTTCGCTGACCCGGGTCCATAACTTCCTTCTTCCTCAGTGAGCCTGGAGGTCTCCACCCACAGAAGAAAGGTCAGCCAAGACACCTGAGGAGATGGACCGTGTGACCAGATACCCCGTCTTTAGTCACTCACCCTCAGCTCATGTCACTGGGCTGGCTCTGGATGGGGATGCCAGTTATACAATTGAGCTGGTGGGCGTGGGGCCCGAGGATGGTGGCTGGGGTCAGGACGAGCCCCAAACTTTCCCCTCAGACTGGGAGGCCCAGGTGGACAGGACGGAGACACGGGTGTTCCGTGGCACGCGTGCTGTCCTCAGCCACCCAGAGAAGGGCAGGGACGGAGAAATGAAGGTTTATGTCCTCGATGCCAGCCGTGGCCCACCCAGGCGGCCACAGGACCTAGAGCGCGAGCGCCGGGCAGTAATCCGGGGACAGGTGGTCAGGAAAAGCAGCACTGTGGCCACGCTTCCTGGCACCCCTGACCACGGGGACCCCGGGCCACCTGGCCACCCTCAGTTCAGTCCTCTGGAGGAGGAAGACGTGATCGACAGGGAGCAGATTGATTTCCTGGCTGCTAGGCAACGCTTTCTGAAGCTGGAACAGGACAGCATGAATGGGACATCCATCCCCCAGAGTCCCCTGGCCAAAGTGTTCCCTGCACATGCCCAGCAGGGGATCATCCAGGCCCCCAAGGCCTCGAATGAGCCCCAGCCGGCCAACGGGTATGTTGTCCCTGCCACAGCCCAGGACAAGGAAGTGGTCATGGTGGAGAACAGGGTCCGTGGTTTTGCAACAGGGCCCAGCATCCAAGCTGTGGACAGCTCTGGCTCCTGGTCCCAAGCCACTAAGGACTCCAGCTTCCAGTTCCAAGGCACAGACAACCCCAGTTTCCAGCCCCAAACCACGAATGTTTCCTACCTCTGGTCCCAGTCCATGGATGACTCCGGCTCTTGGTCCCTGGAGCCCCTCAAGGAGACACCCATTGAGCGGGAGATCCGGCTGGCCCAGGAGCGTGAGGCTGACCTGCGGGAGCAGAGGGGACTTAGGCGGGCAGCGGGCCACCAGGAGCTGGTGGAGATCCTCACCCGGCCGGTGCTGACCAAAGTGAACCTGGTCGAGGGCCCGCGGCGGGACCGGGGCCGCCCATCCCTGTATGTGCAGCGGGACATGGTGCAGGAGACCCAGCGTGTGGAAGACCACAGGCGGGCGGGCCTGCAGGCCAGTGGGGCGTCCACACCTGACTGGGTCTCCGAGGACCATCAGCCATCACTTGGGGGGAAAATGAGCTCAGATTCCAGCCTCAACCCCATGCCAGATGCCCGGGCGGCCGACCCAGCCCCAGAGATGAGGAAGGTGAACCGTATCCCGCCTGACGCCTACCAGCCGTACCTGGGCGGAGGGACTCCCCAGCCAGAGTTCTCACCCTTCTGGGGATACCGCAAGCCAAGCGGTCCCCCTGCCTCTCCTAGGCCCACAGAGTCTCAGAGGCCTCTCTCAGAATCCTCTGGAAAACCTCAGAGTGCAAAGTTCCCTCTGGGACACCCACAATCCAGCCAGACCACGATACAACGGGAGTACTTCTGCCTGCGACCCCTGCAGTTCAGGGTCCCAGATGTACAGCATCAGGCTGAGGCCTCCCACGTCCGGGGCTGGGAGGTGGCTGGGGCCCCAGCGTTGAGGCTGAAGAGGTCCCAGTCATCTGACCTGCTGGAGAGGGAGGTGGAGGACGTCCTTCGCAGGGAGCGGGAGGTGGAGGAGCAGCGGAGGAGCGCTTTCTTCCCTGAAGTCTTCTCCTCAACACCAGAGGATGAGGGCTGTGAGCAAGACTCTAGGAGCTCCTCCAGGGCATCTGGTGAGGAGGGGACAGGAATGGCTGTTCTGCCCTATGACTTGGGTTGGAGCAAGGGGACAGGGAGGTGGGACTCGGTATCAGGGAGGACAAGCATCTCCCCAATCTGCTCCTGCCCCTCCATCAGTTGCTTAAGCTGTAGATTTTGGAGCAATGTCAGCTTTGCCTTGGGTTTTTTGGCTTTATAGATTTGTGCATTTTGTTATTAGTTGCATAGCAATTTGTAGATGTTTAACCTCTTGGCCGCTGGTTTTTGTCAATATGAAATGTCCTCCCAGGTTGCTTGGTGCTTTTTCACCTTCTGTTTATCCTGTTTTTCCTGACTGGCTATTTTGTTCAGTCTGTCACAACTAGTTGCCTGCTCTTTCTGCCCACTGGTGGTTCTAATGCTTCAGCCGGAACCCCTGTAGCTCCAGAGCTGAGATCTGGAAATCATTGTCCAATGCCCCTTCCTTCTCCCACTTCTCACAGGCATCATGGGCAGCTACTCAGTGTCCGAGTCACCCACGTTCACTCCCATCCACCTGAACTCAGGCCTGGTGTGGACCGTGGAGGACGCAACAGATGAAGCTGCTGGGCACAGGAAGAAGGGACAGTGGGTGAGCAGAGACTGTCCTCCTCCTCCTCCCCGAGGCTAGCAGCCCCCACTGGAGCATCAGGAGGGTCCCAGAAGCCCCAAATCTAGCCCAAGTGCCTACTGTCATCATCACTGTCCCCCACTGTGCTGTGCCTCGGTTTCCCCCCACGTGAAGGACAGAATCATAAACTGGGCATCTCTATCTCTGGGCTTCTGCTCAGAGAAGCCACATAAGCAGGGATCCTTGTCCCCTTTGAAGGGCATGTCGGGGTCAAGGGGAATGTCATGAGGGGACAGTATGGGGAATGGCCTAGAGTTTGGGGTGGTTATGGGACGCTGGGAAGGCCCCACAGCCAGGAGACATCTTCCCTCCTGTCCTCAGCAGACATTCAGCTATATTTTGGACATCCAGGCGGGCACTGGCACAGGGCAGAAAGCACAGGGCTGACTCTTGTCCTTTTCCCACAGTATGCGGGCATCAACCCCTCAGACGGTATCAACTTGGAGGTGAGTGCTCCCGGGGTGCGGGGGGACCCAGGCTTTTCCTCTATATCGTTTCCTCCAGGCGGGGGACAATTCTGGGTATCCTCTGCACTGTAATGTCTGCCCAGGGTGGATTCTGCTGGGATCTGGTTGTGATGCCTGATGCTGAGGTGGATTCTGCTAGGATCTACTTGTGATGCCTGCCACAGGCACCAACTACACCAGGAGGGTCCATGTGCCACCGTTTTGCCAGATGGTGGTTTTAAAGCAGATTGGGACTAAATAAGGACACTTCTCACTTATTTAATTATCTTTTGCAGTGCTGGTGATGGAACCTGGGCCTTGTTGCATGGGCTAGGCAAGCACTTGCCACTGAGCTACACCCATAGCCCTGTTTTAAAATTGTCTTTTGAGACAGGGTCTCACTAAGTTGCCCAGGCTGAACTTGAATTTATGATCCTCCTGCCTCAGTCTCCTGAGTACATGGGATTCCAGGTGACACCTCACTAGACAAGGACACTCAACTACCTCAGTCAATTCATGGAACGATTTATGGCTTTCCTTAGGTTGAGTCCAAAAAGCCAGATCCAACCAGATAAGGTGGTGCTTACCTCTGTAATCCCAGGACATTGGGAGGCTGAGGCAGGAGAATCAAAACTTTAAGCCCAAGGCTGGGGATTTAGCTCAGTGGTTTCAGCACCTGCTTTGCAAGCACAAGGACCTGAGTTTGATCCCTGGTACCAAAAATTAAGCCCAACCTGGACAATGTAGTGACTCAGTAAAACTCTGTCTCAAAATAAAAAAAATTCAAGGGCCGGGGATTTAGCTCAGTGGTTCCGCTGCCTGCCTGCCTCACAAGCGCAAGGTCCTGAGTTCGATCCCCGGTACCCCCCAAGAATAATTAATAACAACAATAATAATAAATAAAATAAAAAGTTAAAATGAGCTGGGCAGGCCAGGGATTCAGCTCAGTGGTGCCGCCTCCTGCCCTGCAAGCGCAAGGTCCTCAGTTCAATCCCCGGTACCAAATAAATAAATTAATAAATAAAATGAGCTGGGAGATGTAGCTCAGTGTGAAAGCTCCGGGTTCAATTCCTAGTACCACTACATAAATAAATAAAGCCAGACCCTGGTATTTTCCCTGCCTGGCGTTTAGAACAATTCAGCAGTTCTTTTGCCCTATTACTAGGAATAGGGTCTGAAACGGAAGAGGGGAGGGTCCTTCCTCCCCGTCTTGGGCCAGTGCAGGGTTGCCTGGGGGTAGTAAGAACACTGAGGGGCCTCTGCCTCCTGTCCTCTGGTGCAGATCCTGGGAGCCACGCGGGTGACTCGTCACAAGAATGCCATGGCCAGGCGCTGGGAGGCCGGCATCCACACCAGCGAGGACGAGGACTGAGCCTGGGCCTGGGACAGCTGCCAAGTCGCCGAGGAGCCCCCACCCACCATGGGGCTCGGTCCCCGCTTAAAGTCACCGTCCAAGAACCCGGAGCTGCACATCCAGTCTGCGGCGAGCACAGTGTAGACGCCAGGGTTTTCTTCGCCACTTTTTATTTTCTTGGTGGACATTTGTCTCTTATTAGGGTCTTTGGCTGGGACCGAAAAGAGAGATCCCTGCTGATTCTTTCTGCCTCTTTTTGTTTGTTTGGTTTGGTTTTTGGAAAAGGTCACGCTATGTGACCCAGGCTGGCCTCAAACTGCAGCGAGATCCTCCTCCCTCAGCCTCCTGACTGCGGGGGCGACAGGCGTGCGCCACCATGCCTGGCTCCTTTCTTCTACTAAGAAAGACTTTGCCAAATGTTCTGGGTCTGGTAAGGGAGACCAGACCATGGTGTGGCCCATACGTGGAGCACAGAGCTCTGACCCCTGAAGTGGCTGAGATTTGAGGCCACCAAGGCCTTTGCCTCCCACCCATACAGCCTGTCCTTGTCCACCAGGAATAAAACTTATGAGCTCCGGGCTGGCCTGGCCTGGTGTGCGGGAAGCAGTTCAGTCTGTCTCAGTTTTCTTGAGGACATCCTGTCCTGCCCCATTGGACCACAACCCCAGGGACAGGCGCCAGGCACAGATCGTGGGCTCCCGAATCCTGCATACATCAGGCACCTTATTGGTGCTCATGCAGAGGCCCACGGAGCGTGTGAGAGGCCGATTCAGGCTCCTTGAGGGCTTATTAACCGACTGCTGCATCCCTGGCCCAGACACCTGGTGACAGAGGAGTTTGGAGAGTCATTAATTGGGCTCCGTCTATTTACCAGGCTCACACCTGGAGAGGGTAGGTGCTGGATTGGATCCAGCTCTGCTCCCAGCCACTCTCTAACCCTGGGTCCTCTGAGTGCCAGACCTCAGTTTCCCCTCTGCACAGGGATTCAGGATGGAACTCTACGAGGCAGGTAGAGGAACCACTGAGCTAAATCCCCAGCCCTCTTGAGACAGGGTCTCACTATGTAGTTGAGACTGACCTGGAACTCACTATGTAGCCCAGGTTGGTCTTGAACTCACAGCGATCCTCCTGCCTCAGCCTCCCGAGTGCTGGGATTACAGGCGTGCGCCACCATGCCCGGCTCCTCTTGCTCTTTTCTTTTTTAATTAAAAACATTTTATTCTTAATAAATACATGCATTGTGGGGAGTTGGTACACAGGCATATGGCCTTTGGTCCTTTTTACTTCCTCTTTCCCTTTCCCCTATTTCCAGACCCCCCCTTTTTAAAAAAATATTGAATTTGGGCTAGAGATTTAGCTCAGCGGTGCTGCACCTGCCTTGCAAGCTCAAGGTCCTGAGTTCGATCTCCAATACCGAAAAAAAAATGTTTTTTTAAATTAAAATAAATAAATTTTGAATATTGTTGTTGTTGTTGTTGTTATTGAGACAGAGACTCACTGTGTAGTCCAGACTGGCCTCAAACTCACTATGTCACCCACATTGGCCTGGGACTTGCAGCAATCTTCCTGCCTCAGCCTCTCAAGTGCTGAGATTACAGGTGCATGACACAACACCAGGCAAAATCAGTAAATTTTTTAAAAAGTATCTCATTATTTATTCATTCATTTATCGTTGTGGTACTAGGGCTCAAAACCAAGGCCTTCACAATGAGCTCTATCCTTCATCCTTTTTTGAGACCGGGTTTTGATAAGTCTTTAAATTGCCCAAACTGAGTTCCTAGTTGGGATTCTAGCTGGGCGTGGTGGTGCACGCCTGTGATCCCAGCACTCAGGAGGCGGAGGCAGGAGGATCGCTGTGAGTTTAAGGCCATCCTGGGCTACACAGCAAGACTCTGTCTCAAAAAAAATGTTGGGGAAAAAAACGTAGGGCTTCTCCAACATTTGCATCTGTTGCAAGTACAATAGGTGTGAGCCACAATGTGTGGTTATTATGACATTTTTATAAGGGATGTGAGCATCAAGCATCAGCTGATTTTGGCATGTGAGGGGGTTCTGGAACCAAGTTCTCACAGATACCAAGGGAGGACTGCGAGTGTGAGTGTGTGTGTGTGTGTGTGTGTGTGTGTGTGTGTGTGTGAGAGAGAGAGAAGTTCTATTCTCTGAAGACCCCTGTTCCCAATACTTTTTTAGTACGTCTCTTTTGTGCAATATTTGGGACATGCTAGAAGTTTGTTTTTAATCTGAAAAGCAGAGTGTCCAGCGCCCTTAACCAGCGCAGTCAGGTCACTTAGCTGCTCGCGTGGGTTTCCGCGAGGGTCCCGTGGGGTGACGACTGTTTCCGTCGTCAGATACCATCCTCCTCCGCAGCCTTTCACGGGCCCCGCTTGACGCGCGGGTGCTCTTATGGAGCGGGCGGCAGGAAGGACACCCTGGGGGTGGGGCCGGGCTGGAGGGGCGTGGCCTTTGACGGGGCGGGACTGGACTGCCCAGGCTCCGCCCAGATCCCCGCCCCTTGTCCTCCCTGGCCCCTCCCCCCGACCTGCAGGCCCACGGGCGGCTGCCTCCCCCTGCTGGCGTCCCGGGCCGAGCGAGGTCAGCCACCCAGCCGGGGTGCGTCCCGGGGGTGTGCGCCTCCAGCCTCGCGTGATTAATGAGTGGGTTCCTGGGAGCCCGGGGCTGTGGGGTCTGCAAAACATCAAAGCCGCAGGGCGGTGATCAGACTGAAAGGAACCCGCGAGCTGCACTGTCCCGTGAACGCACTGGGCTGGGGACTCGGGTGTGGCTCAGTGGTGAACCCGTGTGAGTCCCCGGCTCCGTCCCCAGCGCTGCCAAGCAAACAGCGCGTGATTAATGAGTGGGTTCCTGGGAGCCCGGGGCTGTGGGGTCTGCAAAACATCAAAGCCTCAGGGCGGTGATCAGACTGAAAGGAACCCGCGAGCTGCGCTGTCCCGTGAACGCACTGGGCTGGGGACTCGGGTGTGGCTCAGTGGTGAACCCGTGTGAGTCCCCGGCTCCGTCCCCAGCGCTGCCAAGCAAACAGCTGCACGTGATGGACCCTCACCTCAGCTGAGAGAGATTCTTAGGCCAGCCCGGCCTCTGGGAGAGATCCGGGGTCAAAGTAAAAAATATAAAGGGCAAGTGTAGCAGTGAAGAGACTCCTGGGTTCCATCCCCAATACTGCAAGAATAAATAAGGGTCAGGCGTGATGGTGCACACCTGTAATCCCAGCACTCAGGAGGCTGAAGCAGGAAGATCACCATAAGTGGGAGGCCAGCCTGGGCTACAGAGTGAGTTCAAGAACTACAGGGGCCGTTGCACTGCCTGCCTCGCAAGTGCAAGGTTCGATCTCTGGTCAAAAAAAAAAAAGGACTACATAGTGAGACCCTGTCTCAAAACCAAAATAATAAATAAATATTATTTTTAAAAATATTAAGAAGGCTGAGCCTGATCCAGGTGCTCAGATTCCCAAATCTCAGGTCTTCTGAGCAATCACAGGCTCTGAGTCCCACAGCCAGGCTGATTTTGTCCACCTCATCTGTCCTGTGCCAAATAGTCGCCCTTCTGTGTCCTAAGAAGAATCACGGGAGCCCCCTGGTGACAGCCAGGCAGCCAAGTGGGGACCTTAGGAGTGAGCCAAGTGCTCCCGCGTGGCTCTCAGGAATTCTCGGGGATCTGTGAGGGATCCGCCTGGGAACACCGATTCCCTTAGGGATGGCATGAAAGCCCCTGGACGCCACAGCCCCTTTCCAGATCTGCAGAGCCCTGACCTTGGGTGAAGGCCCCCAACGCTCTACCCCTTCACCCTGAACTCTTTTCTGACTTCGGGTTTGCTGGGCAGGTGTCACCGGCCTGTGAACTGCTGTTTCCTCTGCTGGGCACACCCTTCTATAAGCGGTCAGCACTGCTCCAGCCCCGTACCTGTCCTGGGGTTCCTCCCCCGGAGCCCCACAGTGACGTTCCTCCAGCCCTCACACCTCCTCCTGTCTCAGGCTCCCAACACCATGCATGTGCCTGGCCTCGGGAGGTCGGTGGGTGCCTCCGATACATGGCTGGCTGAGAAGGCGCCTTCCCCAAGGCTGGCCCTCGGCGTGGTTTGCAAACTGCCCCCAAGGCAAATCCATCCCAGCGCTCGGGGGCAGTGCGCCAGATGGAAGCTGGGGCTGCAGCATCAGCTCAGGAAAGTGGCCGTCTGAACCGCAGGACCCTCTGTGGAGGCCCAGACTGTGCTGGATCCCTGGAGTCCCCAGGAATCAGCTCTGTGGCCAGCATCACTGGTCTTTTCCCCACCCAGCTCACAAAAGCTGATTCGGGGCCCCCAGGTGTCCCAATCAGGGTGACTCTGCCCCTGGGAACATCTGTGGCTGTTCACTTGTCCAGACACAAAGAGCGGATGCAGCAGGCAGGCACACTCAGAGCAGCGAGAGTCAGCAATAGGTCCCTTCCGGCTGGGCACTGTGTGGGGAGCGGCCTTTCCCGGAAGTCACCATCATCTCCTTTGAAGGCAGTTTCTGGTCCCCTGACCAATTTGCGTTTCAACGCTGTCTGTTGTTTACTTTGGGAAGCAGCTGCTCCTGTTTGGACTTTTATACCACCTTGTCTTTCCTGTGTTTTCACTTAGCCTCAGCTCTCTCGTGAAAACAGACTGCTCCACGCCCTCCTCCTTTCCCTACTCACACCCGCGTTTCTCAACCAAAGCTCTCCCCCACCCTGTGGTCCCGTTTGCTTGGGTCACCTTATGAAAATGCACCACTTTCAGTTTCTTTTTCTTACACATCCCCTCCTCTTTCCTTTGCAACTCTCTCGGTCCTCTTTTCACTTGTATTTTACCCAGCTGTCTTTGGATTTCAGATCGTTCTGGGATTTGCCGACTCTCCTCCTCAGAAGAGTCTGACTCGGGGCATCTGCCTCGTTACTGCTGTTTCCATGGTCTCTGAGCTGATCAGAGAGCATGGGGAATCAATAAGTATATTCCAATCCGGGAGCCTACTGCAGGCCCTTTCCCCCTGTGTCCGGGTCCTGCAAGAGAGGCCTTGGGAAGTTAGGAAGTACGGGGGGAGGAGTGGCTAGTTGAACTGAGGCAGGTAGAAAGTGGGGTCCTTTCTCCAGCCTGGCATGGTGATACACTAGTCCTGTCATCCCAGGACTCTAGAGGCTGAGGCAGGAGGGTTGCTGTGAGTGTGAGGCCAACGTGGGCTGCAAAGTGAGTTCAGGGTCAGCCTGGACTCCTCCGAAGAAATACTCTGCCACAAAAACCAAAAACCAAACCAAAGC